TAGAAGAGTCTTTCTGCTTTTTACTCTTGTCATTTCTCTGGACAGTGACCTTTTTAGGATGTCTGAGCTGTTTGTCTTGTCCAGTGCACCATAACCTGGATGTGTCTGAGTGTTCCCTGCATGCTGTTGGCATGGATGTACAAGGATGGTGATGCATCATCTTGCATCACCTAGGGAGATAAGTGATGCCAATGTGGCGGTTCACCCCGCCAACAACAAGGTAAAGGTAGTGATGTCAGATATCTCCATGTAAAGTAACATTTTTCTTTTTTAATTAGTAAATCTGAGGATTAATATGTAGGCACAATACAGACCCCCCCTATTTCCCAGCAAGCTGTTGCCTGGTTGGGTCTTATTTCTAGTCTGTGTGATGATTTGTATAGTCTTTTGCTCTCTATTGTGGTTTCAAGTACCTCTTTTTATTTCTTTTTTTAAAATTTTTTTTTAAGAAGTGGGATACAGGCTAAAGTCGTGGGGGGTGAGAAGATTCACCAGAGAGAGTGGGGAACAGCACAGACAGATGTACCGAAATACACTGCTGAGGGGAGCAGTGGGGGAAACAGGAGAGGACTGCTGCGCCATGTGGGTTGCTCCCCACCTGGTCAGGGATTGAACTCACACCGCAAAGGCCGTGGACAGCTTCACAGCGCTGCGCTCAATCCCCTGCACCACCAGAGAGGCCCCTTTATTTCTTTTTATTTATTTATTTATTTTTGAGGCCCCTTTATTTCTTTTAAAACATTAAGCATTCTTTATATACCTGAATGCTTTGCTCTGTGGGTCTAGTTCTGCTTTCTGTTGATTCTGATGACTCTTAATCATGCTACTGTCTTTCCTTATTTGTTTTTATGTGTTTTGACTATGAACCTACTTTTTTTTTTTAAGATTTATTTTATTCATGCATACAAGAGCTGGGGTGTAGGCCAGAGGTGTGGAGGTGAGAGGAGTCACCAGAGACAGAGTGTGAAACAAGAACAGACGGATTGATTGAAATATACTGCTGAAGGGCCTTCCTGGTGGTGCAAGGGGTTAAGCACCGCACTATGAAGCAATCCGCAGCCTCTGCAGCATGAGTTCGATCCCCGGCCGGCCAGGGAGCTACCCACATGGCGCAGCAGACCTCTCCTCTCTTGCCCCCTGCTCTCCTCAGCAGTGTATTTTAGTCTGCCTGTTCTGTTCCCCACTCTGTCTCTGGTGAATCCTCTCACCCACCCCCCCCACACACACACATCTCTGGCCTGTACCCCAGCTCTTGTAAGTATAAATAAATAAATCTTAAAAAAAAAAAAAAAGAAAGAAACATACTGCTGAGGGGAGCAGCAAGTGAGACAGGAGAGGTCTGCTATGCCATGTGGGTATCTCCCTGGCCAGGGATTGAACTCATGCTGCAGTGGCTGCTGATAGCTTTGTAGTGCTGAGACTTAATTCCTTGCACCACCAGGGAGGCCTCTGAACCTGTATTTCTTATAACATTTCTTACGTGTGTGGATTCATTGAGAGCTATGTTGTAGGTGGGCTTTTTTTTTTTTTTTTTTGCCACTTCATCTCATTCAATTTATTTATTTATTTTTTAATAATAAATTTTATTTTTATATTCCCCATACAATTGCAGCCCCCCCATTCTGACCCCAATCCCTCCCCTCCCACCCCCGCCCCCCTAAAAGTGTCTCTGGTTCGTAGTTTTTTGTTGATTTTGATTTTCACTTTCTTATAGTTATTCGTTTTCCTGGTCCCTTATTTAAGTTTTCTAGATTCCTGCTATGAGTGAGACCATCCGGTATTTTTCTTTTTCTTTTTGGCTTATTTCGCTGAGCATGATCCCTTCCAGTGCCATCCATGTTGCTGCAAATTGCATGTGTTTATCTTTTTTGAATGCTGAGTAATATTCCATGGTATATATGTACCACATCTTCTTGATCCAGTCATCTACTTTTGGGCATTTGGGTTGTTTCCAAAGCTTAGCTATTGTAAACAGTGCTGCTATAAACATAGGGGTGCAGGTGTTCTTTGGAATTGATGTTTCTGTGTCCTTTGGGTAAATACCTAGGAGTGGAATTGCTGGATCATATGGAAGCTCTATGTTTAGTAGGTCCAGAAATCTCCACACAGCTCTCCACAGTGGTTGGACCAGTTTGCACTCCCACCAACAGTGCAGAAGAGTTCCTTTTTCTCCACACCCTCGCCAACATTTGTTGTTGCTAGTTTTTTTAATATGTGCCATTCTCACTGGTGTAAGATGGTATCTCATGGTAGTTTTGATTTGCATTTCCCTGATGACAAGTGATGTTGAACATTTTTTCATATGCCTGTTGGCCATTTGCATTTCCTCTTCAGAGAAGTTTCTTTTTAGCTCTTCTGCCCATTTTTTGACTGGATTCTTTTCTTTGTTGTTGTTAAGTCTCATCAGCTCTTTGCAGATTTTTGTGATCAGTCCTTTATCATTAGTGTTGGGTGCAAAAATGTTCTCCCAGTTGGTGGGGTTTCTCTTTATTTTTGTTATTGTCTCTTTTGCTGTGCAGAAGCTCTTTAATTTGATGTAGGTGGGCTTTTTATGAGAAGATAACCACAGACTGAGACTGAAAATTTGGGAGCCTTCCAGGGTGGTGTGAATTAGGACTTGAACCTGAAGATTGGCATTATTTTGGGTGTAGCTTTAGTTCTTTAGTTTTGTTTCAGTTTGACACTGAGCACCTATCTCTATGGGGAGCTCATCTTTATGGGGATGTTCCCATGAGACTGCCTACATTTCAAGGACCCTAAGTTTTGTCTTTCATCCACCCAGAGGCCTTGAGAACCAGAATTCCAGGTCACTAGTGCTGCAAGTACCCTCAGGGCAAGAGCCAACTGCCACCCAGCACACCTCACTAGGTTTGATTATTTCACTAGTGTTTGTCTTTGAAGGTTCCAGACTTTTTGGACTGACTTAGTAATATATTAACAACTTGGGTTTTTTTTGTTTGTTTGTTTGTTTTTAAAGATTTATTTATTTATTTATGCATACAAGAGCTGGGGTGTAGGCCAGGGGTGCTAGAGATGGTGAGAGGATTCACCAGAGACAGAGTGGGGAACAGAACAGGCAGATCTACTGAAATACAATGCTGAGGGGAGCAACAGGTGAGACAGGAGAGGTCTGCTGCGCCATGTGGGTCAGTTCCCTGGCCAGGGATTGAACTTGTGCTGCAGTGGCTATATGAAGCCAATAGCTTCATAGTGCTGAGACTTAACCCCTTGGGCCACTTAACCCCTTGTGCCACCTTGTGCATGAGGCCCAACTTGGGTTTGTTTTTAATGAATGTATTCTTTCTTTTTTTTTTTAAACAACCCCTTGTTTTTATTTATTTATTTATACAAGCACTGGGTACAGTCAGAAGCGTGGGAGGGTGAGAGAATTCACCAGAGCCAGAGCAGAGAGCAGGACAAGCAGACTGATGAAGTACACTGCTGAGGGGAGCAGCGGGCGGCAGGAGAGGTCTGCGTACCATGTGGGACCCTTGCCCGGTGGCCAGGGATCAAACCGGCACTGCAAAGGCTGCGGGCAGCTTCGCAACCCAGTGCTCAACTGCTGCGCCACCGGGGAAGCCCTTTAATGAACGTTTTCTAGTTGTTTTGGGGAGAAGGTCCAATCAGGGCCTCCATCCTGCTAAAAAGCAGCATCTCCATGGTCTGTGCTGACTATGGCATGCTCAGGTGTCTCATGGGTCTGCTAGAGCTGGATCTCTCACTGGACTATACACTTGCAGGGCACTGGGGTCCTGTTTGAGAGATTCCCAGTATTCCCTGTGACCTGTCCTTGCACTCTTACACACACTCAGAGAGGCGAGACCCACTAGTGTGATGAGTGGGGCAGGTGCCAGGGCATCTCTGGGTGGTAGCCCTGCTGTGACTCCCTTCTCTATTCTCTTTGTTGATTTCCAACAAAGTTTCTTCAGATCACAGTAGTCCTGTTGTAGTTAAAAGAAAGGGCTTCTTGATGGAGCACAGGAGTGTACCCAGGACTTTTCTTTGACCTGTTTGGGGGTAGGCTATGGTGTGCACAGAGGTGCGAACACTTGGCAGCCCAGGGATGAAAGACAGGGACCTATGATGTTTGGGCACCCCTCTCCTGGTCCTGCTTCTTCTCCTCTGTAATTGCTTGGGTTCTGTCCGCTGATACAGCCTCTGTGGGCTATGGGCAGGTCTCCACCAGCACCTGGACGGCTGCCTGCACATGTCCGTCTCCCCTACGAGGGGCATCCTAGGATCTCTGGCTCCTGTGTCTGCCTGAGGTGTGTGTGCCTTGATGGGAGGATGAGTGCCGGTTGCATCTTGGGGCCATCCCTGCCTACCGCTTCCTATACCTGGAGAAAGGCTCCAGTCTCCTCTCTGTGTGGATAACCCTTAGAACTTGCTGGGCTGCTGCTGCCAAGGCATGGCATGGGGGAGGAGGCATGACATGGGGACACCGCCATTGTCTGTGGTTTGAGGGCCTGTGAGATTTTCAGGGATGTTTGTAGTTGAAAAGATTGTCAGAGTTAAGCAAATTGTGTCAGATGGTCTTTCTTTTTAATTCTTTTCAATTTTTAAAAGAATGTGTCTTACTCTGACATCTCAAAGAGTGGGAAAAATACAAAGTTGTGTTCTGTGTATTAAGTTACATGTTCCTTTGCCCTCTGTGGGGGAAAGACAGGTAATAGAACAGGGAAACGAGGCAGTGGCAGGCGGCTGGTATCGCACATCAGCCTTGCGCAAGGGGCTGCGGCCTCCGCTTTGGGTGGCAAGGTGCCAGGGGAGATAGGATAATGCGATTATTCTCAATTAGATTAATAAAGAATAATTAGATGTCATAAATCAAGCAATCATGGGATATTGTCATGGGAAAAATATGTAGCTAGAATTAATTAGTTTTCAAATAAAGCATTTATTTTAATTGCTTGAAATGATGGAGCCTTTAATTGCCGATGCATCATTTTGGCCTGAGCGTTTTGGTTGTTGTAACAACGTGATGGGTTTGTTCCCTACAGTTCTGGGGAAACAATAGAGAAGAACTTAATTTCATCACCCCACAGTGAGCCTTGTTCTGGTGAAGTTCTGGAAACTCCCATCAGGCTGCAGGTAAGTGGCAAGTGTGGACTGGGGCTTCACTGACACTGCCCGAGGCCACGGTGCTGCCTGTGAGGGTGTATGTGCACGTGTGTGCACGTGCCTGTGAATGTGTGCTTGCATGTGTATGAGCCCAAGTGCATGCAAGTACCTGAGTTTGCATGTGTGCATATGTGTGAGTTTTGGGTGTGTATGTGTGCCTAGCCTTTGTGCATGTGTGTACATATGTGTGCATGTCAGGGCTGCAAAGTGGGAGCTTGTTCAGAGGTGGCCTGACATACCCCAGGGCCTGGAACAAGTGATGGGATGCCCTTCCTGGCCTGGACTGGGACTTCTGTGGTGGTATGCTCTGTACTCCCTCCCCCCTACCCCCATCCTGGACTGGAGCTTTTCTACTGGCCTAAGGTACCATGATGAAGTTTACATTCTTGGGTTTCTCCAAATCTGGGTTTGTTGAGCCCTTTTGCTGTCACTCACCAATGCTCACATGCAAGACAACACAGCGAACTCTGGCTTCTGAAGGCCCAACAGCTGTTCCTCTGAACTTGTCCCCAAATTGGCCTCTCTGAGGACAGCTGTTGCAGGGTATCTCTGGGTAGCTTACCTGTTACACTCCAGAGCAGAGGCCTTAGGCCATGGAGTAGTATAGGATCATGGCAGGAGGCTATTCTTGCAGTTGAGAAAGGTTAATTGGATTTTAACCAAAGGTAACAGAGACTGAAAATTAAAAAAGAAAGAGAGAGAAACAAGCAAGCAAGCAGGGACTTGGCTGTTTGTAAGGCACTTTTCCAGGGACCCCCTTCTCTTTGAAACCCCTTGAGGATAGAGTGGTAGAGTCAGAGACTGGAGCAGCCCCTTCCTCTCCTGGCCCTGCAGTGTCTTCTCTGGTCTGTGAGCATTTAGTCCCCAAACCTACCTCCGCGGCCCTTCCTCTGTCATCTTGGTGACTCAGAGGTCCTTGCCTCAACAATAACATTTCTTAATGTTTTGTACCTTTTGCTCCAATCAGATGCTCCTGGGTGATATGGCAGAGCAAGGAGGGAGCCACAGGCTTGGTAGTTCAGGACGCAGCTAGAGCGGTTCTGTGGACTGGCAGCCCACTTGAGAAACCCTGTGCCTCTTCTGCCTCTAGGTCTGTGTCACCATCCTCTGTCTACAGCTCCCTTTTGTGTAGACCTCTGCCTCTAACACCGAACCCCCTCCAAACCCTGGTATTGGCCTCCAACCTCACAGCAGAGGCTCTCTCCTGGAGGAATTCTACCCATATTCCTTGCTCCTATTTTTTCATTTGCCTCTGGTGACTGTGGCCGTCACACCAGTGGGGCAGTGGCCTCTTCCTTCCCCCCTGTGCCAGCTGGAGGTGGGCAGATTGGGAACTATACCAGTGGGAGCCACCCTCCTGACACAACTGTTCCAGCTCCCCAGCCATCTGCTTCTTCCCTCTATACCTTCAGCCTGGCCAAGGGTCTACAACAGACAGATGTGCCCCCAGCTTTTGAGCAGCCTTTTCACCTGCTGAGAACAGCTGCCCTGGCACTGAGTCACTGGAGACCTGTGGGACATGGTAGCATGCCATCCATGGTAGCATGGAGGCCTTCAGTAGCATGAAAGGGGGATACAGACCTTCCAGGGACTCCGCAAGGTTGAGTGTTGTGGTGAGGCTCCGCAGGGACACATACTTCTACTTTGAGATCAGTGGGCCCCAGCAAGCCTTAAACATGGGTCAGTGATTTGAGGAAGGGCTTATCTATGATTGCACCTCTCCCTAGGAAGGAGTAGCACTGTGACTCAGATCCCCTGCTCCTTGCTCATGCAGCATCATGCCAGCCACTCTGTCCTTTGGTGGCAGCATGCACACCTAGGAGCACTTAAGACTTGAGTCTGAGGGCCTGGAGCAGCCCATTCCCTGTGTCGATTACCTCATTAGTACAAGGGTACTGCCTCCTTAAAGGATGTTTGTAACAAGTTGAAATGTGGATATGCAGGCCTGGGACCTGAAAGAGATATTCACAGAATATATGAGGAAGAGACTCCCCATCTTCTGGCCCTGCTGACTCCTTTGGCAACTGGGGACCTCAGTTTATCCCTTGTCTGTCCCTTGGTTTATCCATTCAGCATGTACTTGCTGAGAAGGTACTGTGTGCCTGGCACTGAGTGCCGGACCTGGGGTCCAGAGGGAGAAGGCCAGTAGGACCAGGATCGATAGCATGTCCCAGCATGTCATTCACACCCCACTGGGAGGAGAGAAGAAAGGCTTAAGAAAGGGAGGCTAAATGCACTGGAGGGCTAGGTGGGTTGGGCCCCCCTGAGGAAGAGTTGGAGCCAGGGCCTGGGCAGAGGGTGGCATGAGCTCTCTAGGCTTGGCAAGTTGAATGGCTGGTGAGGAGGAACCTGCCCTAGCCAGAGTGGGACAGTGCTGGTGTGGCTAGTAAGACTTGAGGAGCTGGAGGGTGTGGCTGATGGGTAGATGGGAAGCCCTGGAGGCTAGTGGAAACCTCTGCACAAAGCACAAAGGGTGAAGGTAGCCAAGGAGGGTGTGGGCACTTTTGTGCCCAGTTGGGGATGCTGTAGTTTCAGCCCAGGGTAGTACAGAGACCACTAGGCAAGATGGAAGAGGGGGTGAAGGGGCAGGTGGCATCCAGATACACCTTTACTGCCTTTTTGAAGGAGAAAAGGTGAGCTGCATACACACACTCTCTTGTGCTCCCCAGGTTATTGCACTCCACTCAGCATGGCGGCTGTACTGCCACCAGATCCGAAGTTTGTCCTTCGAGGCACCCAGGCAGCGGTGCATGCACTGCATTTCTGTGGAGAAGCCCAGGTGCAGGGGCACCCACTCCTCCTCTCAGGGTGAGTATCTGTTGCCCCAAGAACATGCCCACGATGAAGTTGAGGAAGAGAGTTGTGAGCCTGTGCTCACTGCAGGGCCTTAGAGGCTCAGGCTGCCCATCACCCAGGCACATTGCCCTGTCAGAGCCCAGCGTCTTCTGGGGTCTGGCTCCCTCAGGGACACACACTCTCCATTATCGACACCATGCAGTTTGCACTGTCTAGGGGCCCCTGCCTCTTTGGAAACGGGTCACTGTTCTAATTTACTTTCAGTTCAGACTTAGAAGTGTCACCTAAAATAAAACCTCTGTCAGTTCAAACACCTAGTTCCCCAGCTTTGTAGTTTCTGGGCAGGGCTACATAGCACACTGGGATCCTCCCCGTCTTCTATGTCCTCCTGAGCCTGCCTTTGCACTTGTCTGAACAGGTCCCAGGGTGGACTGGTGCACATCTGGAGCCTGCAGACACGGAGAGTGGTCACCAACCTGGATGGTCATAGGGGCCAGTGTGTGACCTGGCTGCAGACGCTGCCCCAAGGACCTCAGCTCATCAGGTGGGTCTTGGTGAAATGAGTGCGGTCCCATAGACTCCAACTTGTCTGCATAACACTTTTGGCTCCCACCACCCCAAAGGTGGCTCATTGGTGACCAAGGAACCAGAGCTGTGCAGGCAGGTGGTAGCCCTGGCCATGTGCCCTTGTAGAGCCCTGGCAGGGTCTTGTATCTTTCCTGGCCAAGCTGGCCCAAATTTCTCCCAACCCCCATTCCACTTTGCAGAAGGCCCTCCTTATGGTTTTGATTTTTCCTTGATGGTCAGAGTAGAGATCATGTCCAAATGCCCTCCTACGTCACTTGCATCAGGAGCTGTCATTTGTCCACATTCTACCTGAATTTTCAGAGTCCAGGTGCCTTGGACCATCCTCTGGAACTCCGGGCCAGGAGTCCTGGGCACCATCCTTAGAGAGCTGAGTCTTGTGCTGTGGGGGAAGCAAGCATCTAGGGTGGCCCGGGAGTGAATGTTTGATGGCGCTGCTGAGGCTGCCCGCCCCGACAGGGACTGGTGAGTCAGGAGGTCTGTGTAACAGACTGTGCAGGTGCTTGGAATGCCCAGGTGCGTTTATGTTGCACTAGAGACTGTGCGCCCAGCTGTGTTTGGAAGCCAAGTGGCCCTTGAGGGAGGAAGGTGTGCTTTCAGGTTAAGGGGAGGCTGGAGGACATAAAAGCGGGATCTAGGGGCCCCGTTTCTGCCAGGCTGTGCACGTCAGCACAAGTGGTCCAGGGGCTGCTCTGCCGACACCTCAGCCCCTCCCGCAAGCCAAGGGTCCACCTGGGCCATGAGACTGCCACCTGGCTGGGTTTGTTTTCTTCCCTTTTTTTGTTATGTGATATAACATACTTGTAGGAAAGTGCACAGAATACATCAAAGACCTCTGTGTTTTCATCGAGTAGACAGCTGCATCACCACTCTTAGGCAGGAAGCAGCGCTGCCGGACCCCAAGAGCAACCCATGATGCCGTCCACATGCCATCCAACCTATTTTTATCCTTGGGAGTCAGGGGCAAGTATTGTCTAACTGTGCTGTGTGAATATACATCTCCACAGAACATAGACTGGTTTTGTCTGGCTTCCACTTAATTTACAGAAATGGAACCACATAAGGCAGCTTCTTTGATCTGATGTCTTTTGCTCAACTTACCTGTGTGAGGTCTATTGAGGTGCCCGTGGCTCGAGCTGGTTGTGTAGGTTTTTCTTTGAGGGAGTCCTCTGGCTGCGTTAACCAGATTTCTTACCTATGAGGACTGACAGCAATGCAATGTGCATCCCAGGAGCGGGCTGCTTCAAGGCATAGCACGAGAGCAGTGGTGAATCTTAGGTAAGTGATGGACTGTTTTGGGACTGCCTCACTCTTGGAAGGCATCGAGACGGTGGCAAGGTGCATGTGGGATTATACAAGGGGGTGGTGCATCAGGACAGGAGTGTGCCACATTAGCAATTAAGGGGCCTAGTGAAAGAGACATCTTCCTGCTGCTCTTGCAACTGTTCAGTGAGTTCAAAACCAATTCAAATGAGAAATCACTTAAAAACAGACCAATCCTTTGTTCATGGCATGGTGGCCATGTCGGCAGTGTCGGATACTTTTCCCATGTGAGCACGTTTCTCCTGCATTGTGCCCTGATTTGACCTGTGCCAAGGATCCCCTCCTATCTGTCTCCTTTGGCGCTGCTAATTTGAGTTGAGTCCTCCGTCTAGCAGAGAGCATCACCAAGTCTTGTTCCTTGTGAGCACTGTGCAATTTCGAATGTCCAGGCACATTTGAACTCTAGCGTAGCAGGTTTTCCAGACTGGAATGGAGATTGTCGCTCTGGGTCCGCCCGGCAAGAGTCATGTGCACATCCTGGAATTCCCCAGTGTCTCACGCCAGAACAGGTCTGTGACAGCCTGAGGGTAGAACCAGGGCCTAGATGTCAGGCCTTGTGCAGCTCTCCCTTCTCCTGCCACTGTCCTTTTCCAGGATATCTCTTGTGGGTAGGGATGAGGAATATCCATGTGCATGAACCAGATTACATACACACTTCTGTGCACCTCTGTGTCTGTCTGTCAGTGTATATTTGCATAAACATGCATTCATACCAACTTTTCTGATTGGAATCTAACACCCCAGGGACCATCCTCACCTCCCCTGGGCTTCTTTGTTCTCTGTGACAGGGAGAAACCTGTCTCTTTCAATCTGCCAATTATTTATTTCTCTAATACATACCCAGTGGGAAACAGATTTACCACAGAGTCCTGTATTTCTGTACTGTTATTTTGTCTTCAGTCTTGTAGTGTCTAGTGGAAATACTTCCAGAATCCCTCAGGTCAGCTCCTGTCTGCTCTCCCACTTAGGTGCAGTAAGCCACATGTTTGTTACAGTCTGTAGTCTGTCTTGGGGTCCTAACATTCTGATTGTTTGTTTCATTAATGAACATTCGGTAAAGTTGACTCTATAATGTAGTTCTATAGATTTGATGCCATGGTCACATGTGTGCCAGCCCAGAGGCACACAGAGTGGTCAGCACCCTGCAAAGCTGCTTTGTCACCCTACCTTAGTGGCACCCTGCAGCCCTCCTTCCCTGTAGTCATGTTCTAGAATGGAGAGTTTGGACCCAACTACCTTAGAGTACATCTAAGATTCGTGCAGGCTGTTGCCTGTGCTATAGCTTGCTCTTCTGTTGCCGAGTGGCGTTCCATGACACGATGTTCACAGTCACTTATCCATCCTCCTGTGAAATGCTTCTTTTTGGTTTAGACCATTATGAACAGTGCTCCAGTAAACATTCATGTGTTTCTATGAACATAGGTTTTAAATTCACTTAGGAAAATATTTGAGGATGGGATTGCCAGCTTGGCAAAGTTAATTCACAGAAGAGGGAGGGAGAGAGGGCAACACTTTGGAAGCAGAGGAAACAGCAGAAAGACCATGGCAGGTGGGTCCTAGGGTGTGCCAGAGGGCTCACACATGGCCTGTGAGCGTGTCAGGCATCTGAGGTGCAGACTTGTGTGAACACTAGGGCAGTGAACTCCTTCCTTGGTTATAGTGCTCTCGCCCAGTGATCTGATGCTGTACCCTCTCCATTGAAAGTGTCCTCTGCCTGCCTCTGACCTTAGGCTAGCCACAGGCACACTGAAGTTCATCCATGTGGGATGGGGCTCCAGACACCTGGAGGCACACAACCTGTCTCCTCTTGGTTTTGAAAGTCAGGGTCGGGACCTGAAGCTGTGCCTATGGGACCTGGCAGAGGGCAGGAACACTGTCGTGGATTTTGTATGCCTGGAAAGCATGGGCTTCTGCAGGGGCTCCATCCTGGCTGGGGACCAGCAGCACTGGACATTGGCTGTGCCAGGGAAAGGCGTTGATGAGGTAAGCACCAGCCTACCCCATTCCCTCATTCCATGAGCCACTTTCTGGGTACTTGGCTTCTCTTAAAGGTATACTGTGCCCTCCACAGGCCCCCCACAGAGCTGCAGGGCAGGCTGGGTCTGCCTGCAGAATCACAGCTCTAGGGGCCTGAGATTGGGCCTTGGCCTGGTCACCTGTGAGGTGCCATGATGGTGGGAGTCAGAAGAGAAGCATAGGGCCAAGAGCTGGCATCTCTGGGACACTGATACTTGGAATATTATGGCACAAGATGGACACGTGGCAAGGCTGGACACCATCAGGACACCATCTGAGAACCTCACAAGGTTCTCAGAGGACTTAGAGGTGGGCACACATAGAAGGAAGTTCCAGGAAGGCCAGTAGAGGTGGTGGGAAAGTGACTGAGGCCCTGGTGGAGGAGGACCACTGGGCCAGGGCAGCGGGTAGGGTGGCTGGGGCATGAGAGGCTCCAGGTAGGGCTGAGATATGGGTGAGTAAGGGCTGACCCTGGTGTGGTGATGACAGTACTGAGCAGCACAGGTGAGCAGGGGAGCATCAGAGGGCAGGGCTTTGGGTGGAATAGTGGGGCAGGACTGAGCCTCAGAGGTGACTGTTAGGTGGTGCTCAAGTTAGAGCCACCAGGGATGGTTGTTGACTGGGGACAGGTCAGGCTAGACAGTGGCATCTATACCCCCAGAAGCAGAAGAGGCAGAATCTACCAAGGAGAGCAGTACCTAGGATTCAGAGAAGACCTGGGTGGGAAACAGGGTTGGGTATAGCAGAGGAGGAGAGTGTGGTTAGCGATGCCAGCTCCTGGGAAAGCCAAAGCAATAGAAGAAGCCATGAGCATCTATTGAAGGGTCTGATCAGTGTGGGTGTACAGCTGCTCCAGAACCAGGCAGGAGTGTGGGGTCTAGGGAGGAAGTCTCCTATATGCCACCCAGGCCCATGTTCCCTGAGTCCCTGGCAGGCCTGACAGCCTGTGCAACAGGCTGCTCTGGGCAGGGACTTCAGGCCTTGTGCACACGGTGAGGTTTGGCCTCTGCCCAAGAAGAGTCATTTGTCTTAAAGCAGATTCAGTTCATAAATAATGAGATAGGAACAGGCATTTATTTGTTCATGATTTCATTTAAATCACCAATTAGGAGCTACATACACTTTTCTTGCTGATTTGCCAAAAACCTGTTAAAAATTTTATTAATGTGAAAAGAAAGAGCGGTGTGCTTCCTCCTGGACAGCAGGAGCTGGGCAGTGCCAAGCCTTCTGTGTGCTGCATATCACAGAGACTGCTGTGGGATGAGCCTGCTGTGGTGAGGGTGCCATCCTTCCTTGTCCATGTGCCTTCCTGCCACAGGGCATGACTGAAGCCACTCAGCCTTTGCCTGAGGTAGTTAATTGACTTCCTGGCTCCCAGTTCTCCCAGTGCAGGCAGCATCTATGTACTTAAGGAGCAGTCAGTGTGGGGACCTTGCACACTCTGGGAAAATTGTTTTTTATATTCCTACCTGGAATATGCCTGGACTGGGTCCTGGAAAAGCCTCGCTGGCCTATGCCCAGACAGTTCCTAGGGAGGACATGCCCCCACCCTGCTCCGCCGTCTGGGTGGCCACACTTGCCCAAACCAAACATTTTTCCTTCTGGAAACAAAAGTTGCAATCTAGTGCCAGATGGAAAGTACGGCAGTATCTGTAGGAGGCTCTGAACTTGGGCATCCAGGCTCCTTCTGGAGCACAGAGCACCTTCTGGGACCCACAAAGCTTCCTGGACTGCTGCTTCTTCTCTCCTGTACCCAAGATATGTCTTTGGGTGCTATAGCAATGAACTCAGGCATCAGGACTGCCCTGGTTTCATCTTCAACCCCCACCAGAGCAGACTCACCCCTGGCTCTCGAGTCCTGCTCACTGCCCCCTAAGGGGTGTTCTGTTACCCACAGATTGGGGTAGGCAGCCTTCACTGACTCTGGGCCCATTGTCAGGCTGTCCAGGGTGCACACTGTGTGTCCAATGGCTACTGCTTCTTCTGGAATCCGTCCCCCACCCCCACTCCCCCACCTCTTACTTCTCCCACCACCAATCAACATCTTGAAACCGGGTGACATAAGCAAAGTAATCTCATTATAGGAAACCTGGCAATATAGGAGTACAGAAAGTAGGAGATCAGGTGTCCCACTCCTGCAGTCTGGCTGTGTCCTTTCACAATCTGCCCTCACAGCATACACATGGACTCTAAAGCAGGTTACCAGCCCCACTCCCCCCACAGTTGTCTACTTAGCACCTCTTCAAGACCTATCGAGCCTTTTCCCTGGGGCTGAGAAGCTGTGTGGTCTTCTGGCGAGAGCCCTGCCCAGAGCATGGCAGGTCCCAACTATGAAGGGCCCACCCAAGTGCAGAGGCAGGTGTGTTGCAGGATCCTGTGGCTGAGGGGACCAAGCCCTGCTGCTGACTTCGTGTGTTGCCTGCATTGCCTTAAACATGGCCACAGCACTCATGTGGCACACCTAGAATTGAGACCCAGAATTTAACTCCAGGTCTTGGGCGAGTCTCCTGTGTGGGTTAGTGAGAGCTGCACCTCTATACCTATATGCCTCCAGTTCACCCAGGTTTCTCCTTGCTGAGAGTTCTGTGTTCTGGCTATCAGACAGCAGATGAGTGGGTTTGTGTTCTGTCCCCTCGATGCTCCTATCCCTCTGACCTCATACTCCTCATCTGCAATCCAGAGGATCCTCCCCAATTGGTGAGGGTGACATGTGACTCCATGGCGCCTGCACATCATCGTTGTGATATTGTTAGTAGAACTGCTCTTGGCGATATCTCGGGGAGTGTAGAACCAGCCACACCTCACTTCCACAAAGTGGTGGATCCACTGCCAACAGAAGCACTAGGCCATGGCCTGTGCCACAGGATGTCCAGCAAGAGCCCTTTACTCTTCTGACCTGTATGAGGGGCCACCCTTATCTTTGCTTGGTGTGTGAGAGCTGAGATGCTCAAGGATGTGGCTGACGGGGGGCCACATTCTAGTCTGTAGTGCCCATCCTCTTCCTTGAGGCCTTAGCCACCTGCTGTAGACGGTGCTCAGTCCCAAGTGAGAGCCAGGCTATGCAGGACAGCCAGGCACTTCTCCAGCCCAGGCATAGGAGGGCCTGCACTTGCATTTAGATGATACAAAATGTAGCCAAGATACCCAGAAAAAGGGTGTCAGAATAGCCAGACTCCAGAACTTCCTGGCACAAGTCATAATTGTGTCCTAGGCTTGGTGGTGGGTCCCCAGATGTTCCTCATGCAAGTCTTTGTGCCATTTGATACACCTGAGATAGCTGAGAGTTGTTCACATGTAAATGCCATCGCGGGAAAGAGGAAGCCAAGGTGGGAGAGCAGCAAGCTGAGTCAGTGCACAGCAAGCTGGACCAGGATCCTACCCAGGGCAAGGTAAAATTGGAAGAGAATGGAGGCAGCCTCAAGGCAGTAACACCGAACAGAGGGACATGTTGGTCACTCGGGAATGACGTCTGTATTTCACAAGGACTCGGCAGTGCCTGAGCCCATGAGCCTGTACGGCCTAATTAGGAGGCTCGGCTCCCAGGTTCCTCCAGGGAGCAGACAGAAACTCGCAGCAGCCTTGGTTAATCGCCTTAAAAGTCTCTTGTTTGTATAGCACAGACTCAACTTGGCGCCAACCCAAATCAACTTGTTTTCTTACTGTCAGGTTCAGATTCTGGAGATGCCATCCAAGACGTCAGTGTGCACCCTGAAGCCGGAGGCAGATGCCAAGCCGGGCATGCCCATGTGCCTGAAGCTGTGGCAGGTAAGGCCCAGCACACGCCAACCACGCCCTGCCAGCCACGCCTGTTGGGTTGTGAATCATGCCCCATTCAGTATTCAGTTTATCATGAAACCAATGGGCAATTAGCCCCTTTGGAGAATTTTTGCATGTGGCCTTCCGCATCCTTGGTGTCCCCAGCCTGTCACAGCCACCCTGCTGTTACGAAGCTCCTGCAGACTTCCCCGGGGCAGACTTGGCTTGTGCTGTCCCCCGCAGGCTTCAGAGGTACTTCCCTGCAGTGTGTTGAGGAGGGACAGCTGAGTCAGCTGAGCTGGTCCCCGCCAGGGAGAACTGGTGCTCCTTTCCTCTCTGTGCACAGATCCATGGCCCCATGCTGGGCTGGGAGGGATTGCTGACTAACCCTGCAAGACTGTACTGCCTCTGCTTTGCTTGGGATTAATTTTTGTTACTTCTTTGTCCCACAGAGGCAAAAGTGGGCTTAACATTCTGAATTTCCTCACGGCCACACTTGGAATTTCTGATCCACAGCCAGCCTTCTTTTTGACTGTCTTGCTGATATAGAGTGTCAGGAGGTGTCCCTGGGGCTGGCATCGGATGCAGAGTCTGAGCCCCAGCAGGATAGATTTTAGCTCCAGGACCAGAGAGGGATCCTTCTGGGCCTGCTGCCTCTACCAGATGCTGCAGTCCCCCAGAGGTCAGTGCTGGCGAAGAGTGTATTTGAGTTAGCAAAGCACATGGTCTGGTGTGTTCACATGGAAGGAATCACAGAAAGAGCATTGCCCTGTAGAAACCATGGGAGCAGGTTACTGAGTAGCACCTGCCTCCAGAACGCTTTTCAATTCAGTACTTTCTGATTGTCCTGCAGGCCTAGGTGATCAGGAAGGGGTGGGTGGGGGGGAGGGTTCTACCTTGCTTTTCTTTGAAGTCTTTGCAAGTTATATCTGACAGACTTGGGGAATTTGAAGATGTCTGCATGACCAACAGGACCACAAGGGCAGACATCCCAGATTCCCTGCCCTTTCTTGCAGCTGATTTTTCCCTGAGAACATTCTAGTTGGGATTTGGGAGCTCTAATAAACTGATGCTGTAGTGTCTTGCTATCGCAGCCTTGTCAGAGAGAATTCCATGGGAGTGAAGGAGTTGGGGACGCTGAGAGACCCCACTGAGTCTCTTACAAAGCTCTCCTGCTCTTACAAAGCAGCAGATTTGTGGCGGGGCACTGGGCGGGGAAACACCCCCTCAGGCCTTGAGGTTGCAGGGGCTGGCGCGGTGCTCACAGGTCCTGCGGCAGGACGTCAGCGCCTGTACCCGCTTACTCCACTCCCTGGAAACACTGTCATTGCATAATCATGTAAAAATTCCAGCAGAAAAATGTGTAGAAACGGGATGTACAAACTTGTTAAGGTAATTAATATAGTTGACAGAAGGACAAATCGCGTTTTTGTTCGTTGATACAGATCCAACACAAAATGTTCTGTTTCAAAAAGTGTGCATAAATTTGAACTGCCCCTTTTTTTTTCTCCCCAAGTCTGAATGTCCAGGTTATAACTTGGACTTGAGTATGGCATAGTGACCTGACATGGTATTTTTTTCTGAAACATTCAGATGTTTTCTTGCTTTGTTCCTCAAAGTGGCCAACCTGTGTTGTTACCATATTGTCATATAACAGGTGAGGGTCAGAATCAAGCCTCATGCAGTCATTCCATCCACCCTCAGAGCAGGCTACAGATGTGGGCCCTGCAATGGGCTCCATCCAAGCTAGGGGCACCTCACAGAACATTGAGGAACTGGGGTGGGGGGCTGTCCAGTGGGAATCTCATCAGGCTGGCATGCCTAGAGCTAGAAGGAAACACAGAGGTGTCCTCACCCTGTGGAGATTGAACTGCCACCAAGGGCTTGACCACCAAAGGCCTGGGCTATGACAGGAGTGTTACCCTACCTATGGTGTCTGTTCCTGGGGCCACGGGGAGAGAAGCTGGAGCGGACACAACACAGCCAGGAGCAACAGCTGACGAGGGCTGGCCTTTAACATTCAGGCCCCCTTGGTTCCTGAGGGTTGAGCCCCTGCAGGCTCCAGCTCTGGCCACTTCATGGCACGTGGACAGGTAAACCAGTAGTGTGTAGCCCTTGAACTAGCTCAGATGCTCAGAACCCAGAGACCACAGGCATCACACAGACTATGGGGACAGGCCAGAAACAGCACATTAGTGATGGGAAGAACCCCAAATCTGGGAGGATGGTCTCCTGGGGACTAGCAGGCAAGCTCTGCCAAAACCAGTGGGTGGGATCCAGGTAACCTGACAGCTTTGCTCTAGGGGGAATGGACTCTAGTGGGTCCTAGATGAAGTTCTCACAGCTAGCCTCAGGGGCGGGTTCTCATCTCTAGGATTGGCACAATTTCCTGGTCAGAGGACAGACAGAGCTTTCCAGGCTGTTCTTTCCTGGCCCTCACTCTGCCTTGAATCTGGATATGGTTTCAGGGGAGGACTTGTAAAGAGGTGCGGCTGCCTGGAAGGAGCTACCTAAGCTGAGGGCTTGATCATTTCTTACACACTCTGTATAACTTTGGAGAAAGGTGAAATCTCTACACGAATACTTTCCAATCAGATGATCTGAAAGATGCCAAAATGAAGCTCTTCCCTGTTATAAAACATCAGGGAAAGCTCACCCAAGCAGTCAAGGATTCTGCAGGGAGACCAAATGGAGGCATAACCAGACAGTCCCAGGCTCAGGGAGTCGCCCACAGGACCACTCTCCTAACTGCTCACCCACTCAGGCTGCTGGGACATTCAGCCTATAGAGACGCACACAGGCTGCCCCAACCTCTTTCTAGTAGCCTCACTTGCTCCCTTAGAATTCTTTCTGTTTTTATTTGTGTGAACACATGATCATCAGAAATAATGATTGTAGGAGCTATTTCTGGGGATATGTGGGAGGCATCCTCAGGACCAGCCTTGGGTTCCCTGCTATGACTGCAGCTTGCAGTGGCTGTGTCCTGCCTGTCCCCTGGCACAACCAACTGGACCCTCCTGATCAAAGAGCTGGCCTGTGTCAGTTCCCCCTGGCTCCTGTGGAGCCCCATGTCATACACCACACCCACCACCTCAGTTTCCCTCTCTAACACAGATAAAGCCCTGCTTCCTTGTGTTGTTTGAAAGTGTAGTGTCCACTGGCATTAGAACATGGGCCCTGGTGCTTTTTGTCACCTTCTTAACCAAACAGGGTTTCTTTCAGGCACTTGGGGAACACCATGGAGAGACACTATGCAGACAGCCCCACCAAGGGTTACCTCAAGTCTTAGGCCTGTGAAAAGGAAACTGGAGGAGATGGCAGTACCCTCTGAGCAGACAAAAGCACCTACATAGCACACTAATGTGGGCTCCAGCAGGCCGGTAGGGAGGGCCTATGGTGCCATGAGTCCATGTTTAGTGAGGCCCAGGCTCTCTTCTCATAACACAGCCTCACCCAGATACCAGTCAACATCCTCAGATTCATCATGGCTCGACAGGCAGCCTTGTTGACTTGCCTTCCAGGCCCCAAACCCACCATCACCCATGCAGAGGCTGAGGGTCAGTCCCAAGCAGGGCAGAGGACTGGCTGCAGCTCACCAAGGTTCTATTGAACTCCTGGCTTGGAACATTCTCTGGAGAAGGGGATATGCTCCGTTATTTCTGACATATAGATAATGCTGAGTCTAGGCAGCTCAGTGGGGAAGGCAGAGACAAGTAAAGAGCAAAAGACATCACTCTTTGTTGTGCAAGGAAATGCTTTCTGTTGATGTGCTGGAGATTGGGCATTGAGCCTGTGGCCACGCTTCTGGTGCCAGGATGATGTGGGATCCTGCAGCGTTCCTCTGGGATTGTTGCAGAGGCGAGATAAACGAGGTGTCTGCCCAGGGTGCTGTGCCCTCTGACCTGTGCCCTCATTCATCACCATAGCTCAAGGCTGGGAGCTCAGCACACACCAGTCAGCGCCGCTGCAGCTCACCAGGCCGAGGGAGAGGGGACGGCTTCCGCAGCAATGCTGACAAAGCACAGAAAGTTCATTTTTCATTGAGATGGAGCTTGAGATTTTCCTCAGCTGGCGGTTTTAGACAGGTGACCAGCCCCACCAAGGGTTACCTCAAATCTTATGCCTGTGGAAAGAAAACTGGAGGAGATGGTAGTACCCTGAGGAGGCCACCAGAATCTGGTCTGATGAGAAGTAGCTTAACAGTATGATCAGGGGGCCATGCTGAGCTACACCAGGACTCTGCCCCACAGCACCATCCTCACGGTGCCCCAGCACCACCCAAGCTGGCACCATGGATGATGCCAGCCATTAATGGGGTATGCACAGTCTCTGGAGAACATGGGAAACAGATGCCCAACTGGGCTGCTACTTGAGTCCCTTCTCCCCCGAATCTTGCCAGACCCCTTCGGGAGCTAACTGCTGTGCTATTCCCTGCAGGCCAACTCTAGCCTGCGTCCCCTCCTTCTGGTCGGCTATGAGGACGGATCGGTGGCTTTGTGGGACATCTCTGAGCGGAAGATCTGCAGCCGCATTGCCTGCCACACAGAGCCTGTCATGAGCCTTGACTTTGATTCTCAGAAAGCCAGGGGTGTCTCAGGCTCTGCTGAGAAGGCGTTGGCTGTCTGGAGCCTGGATGAGCAGCAGGGCCTGCAGGTCAGTGAGCCAGACCCGCAGTGTCATTTATCCTGCTTTGCACTAACAGTCTGATAGGCTGAAACAATATTTAGGCATGAAGAGGAGTTGTTGCAGATCCCTGACTAATTAATCACTCTGAGGTGGGGTGCAGGCAGGCCTGTCCATGGGGCCAGTGCAGGAAGAAGGGGGCGTGGACGTTGGTGAACTGTTCACATGGTTTGGGTTTCTCTTAGACCTTGGGTTAAAGACAGTCACGTCTTGTCCATCTAAAGAAAAGTCATGTAGAGTATAGGAGTTTACAAGCCCATTTTCAAAAACTCAGAGGAATGTGGTCAGTACGGAACTGATTAATCAAAAGAAAGATCCAATATAGAGAACTCTGTACAGAGTCACGGCCAGGTGGCAGTCTATGTGTAGGCCTCAGGGAAGCAGTGGGGAAGCCCAGCAGGAGGGATGGAGGCCTTGGGGTACAGTCGGGTTGCTGAAAACCTTTCCATGATGCTTCCACCCCTTGTGGTTTATGGAACAACTCGTGAGCACATCATGGTTTCTGCCTGGTGCTCAGCAGGGGGTGACCCAGCCTGCCTATGAGGCTCTGTTTGGGACAGGAGGGATGAAATTGAAGGGTCAGGGAGCCTCCTGTCAAAGCCTCACTCCTGTGCAGGTCTGGAGGGGCTACAGGCCATGGTGGGTGAGGCACCAGATGTGTCCTGTGCCTATTCACTCCCAGGGGGTGACCTGGAGTGCATATTGGCTTCTGGGCATGAGTGAAATGCTCCGCTTAGCCCAGGAGCCTTAGAAGGTTGGGACTGGACCACAGCCAGTGAGTGGAAAGGTAACACTGTAAATCTAGGTCAGGTGGGAACAGGGCCCTCTGTGGGCTGATGTGGCTATGCTTAGGAGCAGCAGCATGTCCAGATACTGGCTCAACTGGGCTGTCAGCGCTGAAGTGCTGGAGGACAGGGCTGTGCTGGTCCAGCCCTCTTGCCACAGAAGTGAGACCGAGGAAGAGGACATCTCTTGGCCCCTCCCAACATGGAGAAGCCAGGGACTCCTAACCAGGGAAAAAGGCCCTGGGTGGGGCTCCATCTGAGCCCCTGAGGCACATGGTGGAGTCGGGGAGAGGTAGACTTGAGTCAGGACTGCTTCAGGGCCCAGCAAGCCTCACCACCCCCTGGTGGGGCATCATCACCAGGTCATCCTGTAAGAGGGCCTGAGGAAGGCAAGAGATGTTGTGGGGTGGGCAAGCAGTCCTGGACCAGAGGGAGGTTGAGAGAAAGCAGGAGGGAGACCCAAGGATGGACCCTGAGGTCTGACGGAGTGAGACCTAGGAGGTTTCCTCTCATATTGCAACTGGATGGTTCATTCCCATTCTAAAAAGAACAGTTCTGTCGGAGAACCAAAAATGGCAGTGGTGAAGGTGGGGCCATTCCCACTGCCCTGGTGTGAGGCTGCCTGTTGTCCCTGAGTGATGTCTGAATAGGATCTAAGAGACAGGGAGCAATCCCTGTGGAGTCCTGGAGAGGCAAAGCCCAGAGAGAAGGGAAAAGAGGGTGGTCACATGTAATGTTTGGGGACAGGGCGCTTGTTTACACTCTCTTGGCATCATCTCGCTCCAGCAGATCTCTTGTGATGCACACAGTTGGCTTGTAATAAAGCCAGCTGCCTGTCAAATGGTCTGTCTGTCCTCCTATCATCCTAGGTAGTCCATGAGGCCACAGAGGTAGGGGGTCAGACAGGCCCTCCCAATGGCACTAACTCTTGTGGTGGGAGGTAGAGCTTCTTGTGTTTCCAGCCTGGGGGACCAGTCTCCAAGCCCTTGGAGTCATGGACCTAGATAGGTCCATGTTTTAACAATGGTGGGCACTTCAGAGCTGGGTTTTCATGTTGCGTCTTTGGTGGCAAGCCTAGCCATGCACCATTGGGCTGCTTTCACACACCCTTCCCTCCTGTTCCACAAGTCTGGTGGGGTCCTGTGCTCCATTCTACTGTGGCGGGAACTTCATTAGCTTGACTTTACAAAGGGTTGAAGACCCAAGCCCCAGGATGCAGTCCTCCTGAGTCCCCCTGTACCCAGGACCCCAGAGAAGGGCCCCTCCTGGCCCAGATCTGCCTGGTCTCTCCTGACTTGTTCAGGGAAACAGCTGCTGGAACTTAAGACTTAAATTTATGGGGCTTGTTCCAGTCTAGAGATGAACTTGTAGTGTACTGATGAATTGAAAAGTTAAAACAGGACATTATTAATGAATTGAAACTTAAAGCAGAAGGGGACCAGGAATTGCGGAATGGAAGAGGTTGGTGTGGTGGTGATGCATTGGGCTAGGGCCTGCCTCAGCAGTTCACATCAAAGCAGAAGAGCATTCCTCCTGCAGCATACTGAGACCCCCGGACAGCAGGTCCAGAGGCAGCCAGGGCCCTTGAGACTTTCAGGTTGTGAAGTGAGGGCCTCAGAGGAGGTGTTGGGACCCTCAAGGCTTGGTGTCCTCAGGCATCCTCATCAGAAGCCCTCAGTGTGCCTTCCCAGGCCTTCAAGACACATGGGCACAGACGTGCCTCACCTCCTGGCCTGCTGCTAAAGTCTCTAATGAGCCCAAATCAATCTCTCCCAGGCGGGTGCTGGGAGCGGAGACACAGATGAAGTTTCCCGCAACAGAGCGTATGTAATGGGAACCAGATGGCGGCTGCACCACGTACACATTCCTGGCATCTGAGGTCATGGACTGTGAGAGCCACTGGTGGCCAGAGATCCTTCCCAGCGGGTCCTGGTCTAGGATGGGCTCAGCCAGGGCCCCTGGTAGTGACCAGAAACCCTTGGCCACCCTTGTCAGCATGCTGAGGCCTCGGGGGCCCACTGAAATGCTAGGCCACTTGCCTGCCTTCCCAAGGTGACTTTCCCTGGAGTCATGAGGGGGCTTGGGCCTCTGCTGTCGTCAGACACAGGTGGTGTGCAGACCTGCTCATTCCTCCCACACTAGGGGCAGGGCCCACGGCCTTGAAGCAGGGACTGATTTACAGCCAGCTGTATTTTTAGGCCTTTCAGTAATGAGACTCCCCCACCCCAGCCGGTCTGGGCCAGGAAGTGGACCAACCGCACTCTCCATATTCTCCCCCATCTGAGGAAGGCTGGCCATCCAGGCATCCCTGCTACATGGTCACTGCCCTCTTTTACCCCAGCTCTTCCAGGGGCTTCCCTCTCAACAGCAGCAGGACATATGGGGTAGGTAGGAGGGAGGTCACAGGGTCCTGAGGCCAAGCGAACTATGGGCAAAACCCATTTATCCCAGGAACACAGTAGAGTTGGACTTGGACCGCATCACCATGAACAGACCCTAACAAGCCTCTAGGCCCCAGACAGGGACTGGTTTCTCTAACTTAAGTTCCCACCAAATCTTTCTTTTCTGCTTCTCACTCCCTGTTGGGGGAGCTGGACCTTGGGCTTCTTTCCCCACGTGTCCAGAGGGGCTGCAAGTATGCTAAATCACTCCTGTCGCCATGGGCAGTTGACATGACTGGTCGGTCAGCACAGCTGACCTTGGGCAATACTACATTTCAGCCCTCCTAGGTGGAGATGCCAGCATGGAGGTGCTCTTTGCCCTGCACCCAACTTCAACTATGTGAGGTCCACAGTTCAGAGCCTTCCACTAAAAGTCCTTTTCCAGGCTCCTTGGGGTCTTGGTGTTCACTAGCGGAGAGAGCTGAAGCAGCCCTTTCTTCCGAGGAAGCTGTTGGCAGATTCACACAAAGGCAGAATACCAAGGCAGTGACCCTGAAGCAGGGCCCAGGTGGACTCCAGCAAGTGCACTGCTCTCTGCCCATGGCTTCTAGACAAAGTCCACAGGAGAGAAAAGGACGAGGGATGGTGACAAGTCAGCTGCTCATTCTCATTCCCACACTCTGTCCCATTCCATGAGAGTCTGGAACTCTGAGGACACAGCAGATGCAGGTCCCCCACACAGATGCACATGTGGGTTTTGCCCTCACATGAATGGTGGCATGTCCATTCTCACAGCCCTGCTCCAGCAAGTGCCTGTCTTGGCGGCCCATGTGTGGAGTCCAGGAACTCACAACTAAGTGGGGAGTCAGAGAGACAAGGTTCTACAGGCAAATGCAGTTGAAGGCAGGTTAGAGAGTGTAAGACATGCAAGGGTGATGTGGTCATCCATATCCAGTGGATGGTGGAGGAGAGACCAGTGCCTGGGGCATCACAGGATTGAATTGGTGGAGTCAGGACACTGGAGAGAAGCTGCTTAAAGGACAGGAGGTCAACAGGGTAAGGAGGGGGGCTTAGCTATGAGATACAGGGCAGGCAACTAGGTGGCTAGACAAGGTCGCTGCATAGCCCAAGTGTTGATTGCACCATCCCAGAGCAGGCCAAGTGCAAGCAGGGGCTGAAGCTTGGCCCCAACATGCCACAGGTTGGACAGGTAGCTGCACTGCTGCAGGTTCTGGCAGATTCTCACTGTCAGATTCAGTTCTCTCTTCCCCTAGTGGGTAAAGAATTTGCATCTTGAGTGGGTGCTGTGCTACCAGATGCATGTGTTCCTCCTCGTTTGTTCATTTAGCAAGTGGCATATTTGATTTCTCTGACATTAACACATCATATGGCCCTGGAAGAACTCACTACCTAGCATGTCCTCTTCCTCACTCTGCAGGGCTGTTGGAGTTGTCCAGGGCCGTTGTCTCTGTCTGCCAGTAGAGTGAGCTGTACCCCCTCTCCTGTCACCTTCCTCTGCTTACAGCTTTAGGGTGTTAGGAACCCCAGAATCAGGAGGCAAGTGTGCCCTCCTCTTCTGATTTCTGGATATGTCAATGTGCACCTATTTCTTGAGTAGGTGAGCTCCTAGCAGTCCACCATGGGTGTAGGCATTTGCTCTATAGGAAAAGTAAGTTTTTCTTCTTGGACTTGTTTGTTTCCTGGCTTTTTTTTTTTTTTTTATGTTGCATTTTTCTAGGTATTTGTCTATAGGCATAAAAATCTTCAAAGTATTTTCATGCCAACCTGTTTTCAGTTGTTTGTA